TCTACTTGGATGACATCATCATCGTAGGCCGTACGTTTGAGGAACACCTTCAAAATCTGGAACGCGTGCTCATGAAGATTCAGAGTGCCAACCACAAGTTGAGCCCGAAGAAATGTTCACTATTTAAACGGCAAGTTAACTTTTTGGAGTATGTAGTATCGGAAGAGAGTATCCGCACGGATCCAGAGAAAATAGTCGCTGTCAAGGATTGGCCGATTCCAAAAGACAAGACGCAGGTTAGAGCATTTTTGGGTTTATGCTCCTATTACCGGCGATTTGTGAAGAACTTTGCAGATATAGCCAAACCTCTGCACAAGCTAACCGGGGAAAAGCGACAATTCTGCTGGGACGAAAGTTGCCATATCGCATTCCAGTAGCTCAAGGACCGTCTTTGCAAAACACCTATATTAGGGTACTCTGATGCAGGCAAGGAATTTATAGTTGACACAGACGCAAGTGATACAGGACTCGGCGGTGTGTTGTCTCAACGGGTCGGTGATCGAGAGGTTGTGATAGCGTACTTCAGCAAGTCGTTCTCAAAACCAGAAAGGAACTATTGTGTCACAAGAAGCGAATTGCTAACTGTGGTAAAGTCGTTGCAGCATTTTAGAAAATATCTTCTGGGGCGGAATTTTCACTTAAGAACTGACCATGCTGCACTAAAATGGCTATTGCAGTTTAAAAATCCAGAAGGTCAAGTTGCGAGGTGGATTGAACTACTGCAGGAATACGACTTTGAGATCGATCATCGCAGCGGGAAATCTCATGGCAACGTGGATGCATTGTCAAGAAGACCTTGTCCTGAAGATTGCAAACATTGTAATAGGCAAGAGAGTAAGGAAGTGTATCCGTGTGGATGCTCAGGACAGACACACCACACAGCAATGAGTGGAAAGACAGCTTACAACATGCACAGCAGGAAGATCCGGACATCAAGCCGATTTTGGAATGGATAAAAGCCAGTGCTCCCAAGCCCAAGTGTAGCGACGTCTAAGCGATGAGTTCGACCACTAAAAGCTATTGGGCCCAATGGAACAGCTTGCTGCTTCAGGATGGAGTTCTGTGCCGTAAATAGGAAAATGTTCGGGGAGACAGCTGTCATTTGCAAATGGTTGTCCCTAAAGCTAAAGTACCGGATGTTCTACAGCTGTACCATAATGATTGTTCAGGAGGCCATCTGGGAGTTAAACGAACTCTAATGAAGATCCGAGAACGGTTTTACTGGGTCCACTGTCGAAACGATGTAGAGGACTGGTGTCGCAAATGTACAAGTTGTGCGGCTGTAAAGGGACCTCAGACTCGTAGAGTAGAGGTGCATTGAAGTTGTACAATGTTGGTACATCATGGGAGAGAATAGCCATTGACGTGGCGTGGCCGTTTCCAGAGTGAAAGCGGTAACAAGTTTTTCATGGTTGTGATGGATTACTTCACTAAGTGTCCATAAGTATTCGCCATTCCAAATCAAGAAGCTTCAACAGTTGCAGATAAACTAGTTCATGAAGTCTTCTGTCGTTTTAGAGATTCACAGCGATCAAGGAAGGAATTTTGAGTCTTAAATATTCCCGGAAACTTGCCAAGTTATGGTTGCTCATAAAACAAGAACGACTTTTTATCACCCGCAGTTTGATGGAATGGTAGAACGATTTAATCAGACATTGGAGAGGTACCTAGCAAAAGTTGTAGACAATCGGCAACGAGATTGGGACAAGCACATACAACAGTTTTTGTTGTCATATCGATGTACCGAAAGTACATCAGTGATACCAGCTTTCGCAAACTTTGGAAGAGAATTACGGCTGCCTGCAGACCTGATCACTGGGATACCACCTGATGCCCCACGCAGTATAACCGATTATGCAAATGACTTGCGGAACAAAATGAATGACATTTATGAGCACGTCAGACAATCGGGCCAGCAAATGTCCGAAAAGATGAAAACCCGGTATGACCGCAAAATGAACAACAAAGGGTTCGACGAAGGTTCACTAGTGTGGTTGCACAATCCAGTCCGCAGCAAAGGGAAATCTCCTAAACTTCAAACTAAATGGGACGGCCCGTACCGGATTTGTGACCAGGATCAACGATGTAACCTACCGGATACATAAAGGCGCAAGAGGGACTCCTAAGATCGTCCATGTGGATCGTCTGGCGCGTTATTATGGCGCCGATAATGCTCGGGACGAGCATGTCTTAGGAGGGGGCAGTGTTGCGCGCCTAAGTTGACGTCAGGTACCTGGCACTAGCGCCATCTAGTGTCGGGGACCAGAGCGAGGAGGGCTTCCTAGAAAATGTCAATCTTGAACTTTCGACCAACAGCGCCATCTAGTATCGAACAGAAGAATTAAGCTTTCTAGAAGCCCCACAACTTTCTGCGTCTGGTCGGTCGGCGCGCGTATTTACTGGAATATTCTGGATGTTTCGGTGTAAAAGGTGAATTTAAAGCCGCTGCAAAAGGCAATCGGGGCAGTTTTGAATTTAGCAAGACAAGCGAAGCTTCGGAGCGAAATAAAGCGAATCAGTGTGATTAATTATTAGTGTTTTAAGTTTTAATTGGTGTTCGGTAATAAAAGTGTAAATTTTGGTAATTCAATCGGCAGTTTTTATTGTCACGAACCTCAAGCTCGTAACACTATTAAAGAAAAAATATACGTTGAGCAAACAATCATTTAATTTAAAACCTTTTCGAATATATCATAAACCCGCTTGTTGATAATATTCGAAAAATTCCTATTATTGGTAATAGTGCCAATAAAGGAATTTTAATGAAATTATTTTGCCATATGTTGGCCCATTTATTGTCCAGGCCCATCCATTTATTGGCACAGGTAATAAATAAAATGTGATAAAAATATTCAAGAAATAATCTTTGAATCTACTGCCTAAAGATGTAATTAAGTATATCAAATTATGTCAAAACTATCAATTAGCCGAATAGCTGCGATATACTATGATTAATAAAGCTCTCACCTTAAGAAAAAACCAAAATAACCACCAAATCACTAGCACAAAATTACAGCTGGTATTTCTTAATTGCCTTATTGGCTATTGGAACAGTAACTCTAAAGTGCCAGTAATTGGAGGAATTGGAGGAGTGCCCACGATCGGGTGGTTTACCCTACATAAAACCAGAGCATAGATATGCGTCTTTGCTTCGTGACCAGAGCGCAGATATACGTTCTCACTTCGTGAATGCAGTGTAGACTTGTTACACATATTTATTTTAGTTTATTTATGGTATATTTTTGGCAGTATTTTGACATTTCGTATCCTATACTACAAAAAGACAAATAAAAACAACAGTTTTTGTGATACGCCTATTGTTTTATTAAATTTCTTCAAGGTGATAATGAACGCGAAATCACCGGCAGACGACCGATATTCCACGTTACGCGAACTCTGCACATGATCGGTTAATTTATTTTTTGACATAAAATAGATTATTACAATTATACAGATAAATAAGCACATTGAAGTCCATTCAAGATTTGTTAATTATATTTGTGTACTAAATAAAATTATGCCTTTATTATCACGGGAGTTTCAAAATCTTGTTAAATATTTACCCTTAAAAAAATATTATCCTAAAATAAGACTGTTGTGGCCACAACCATAGTATCTTTTACATTTTCACGTCATATTCCATTAGACAGACAAATTTCTTAGGTACTCATAAGCTGTTATTTGACAAATTACTACTTTCTTGTAAAATTGCTAGAAGAATGAAATATTGTTGTTTTATCCAAATATCATAAAACCCTTTTTTAGACCTGTATTCTTTAAATTAAATTTATTATAATATAATAATTAAATTAATAAATATAATAATTAAATTTACCTCATTTTGCGTAAGCTACAGTGTTAGTAACTCTAATGATAATAATCACTTATTCAAAATAGTCAAGTTAAGTTACTCTATAACTACATATTTCAATTAATATTAAATTTAAATGAAATGCATACATCATATATACTATACTATAAACAATCCAATTGCTAACCAAATGGAAATAAGACAACGAGTTCTTTAGCTGTAAATTCATCAATGTATTATGATGCAAATGTAATAGTGACAACATTTGTTCAAATTAATTTGAAATGTATGTGGGAAATACAGCCACATCATATGAAAAATTATGATAGTAAATCTAGATAGGTGTTAGCTGAACTATTTAATAATATTTCTTTAAATCTGTTCCTGTTGGTATCAACATAATAGATCAAACAAATTTAGTCAATGAAACATGGAGGTTAGAGAACAGGAAAATGATCGCCGTAGAAAATAGTGTCACAGGAATATGGACACCATAAGTGAGGCGCTGCGATCGCTAAGTTCGCTCAATAAAAGTCATTTTCAGTCTATTTTTCCGATCAGATACTAAAATACTTCGTATCCACGCACAATAAAATATTTCTCCATTTTTTAATGTTTCTTTTTGTCAAAAAAATAAAAATTACGGAGCATGAAAATTTTCTCATCAATACCGCAAAGAAAATTTGTACATTATGCAACTAACTTCATCTACTTCTACTCATAAACAGCTAACTTCGCAGCCACTACTCACCGACGGCAGTGCCGCTATAAATTCTACAAATTTTCAAGGACAGGCGGGCTATGCTTTCCTGTTCTCTAACCTCCATACAATGAAACATCACTTGACATCGTCTCACTTCCACCCTCAGCAAGTTTCTGTAGGGTTGAGAATGGAAGCTGGTTTAAGGGATAGAATATTTGGTTCTTTACAGTTTATTCATCGCATAACATTACAATAACAAAACAAAAAAAGCAAAAATAGTCTACTGTAGAATTAGAGAACTTAACAATTAATCAATATCTACATAACTAAATATCTGTATTAAAATTATTGCTTATGTACAAACAAGTACAGTCGAGTTCTCAACATGACCAGTGGCTTCACAACACTTGTACCACAGCTGGAGCTCTCATTCATAGATATATATCATACACAAAAGTCTTGTATTCTTAAGTTCACTTTACTACACTATACTAGTGCCCGTTGAAGCATTCGGACCTCCTCGGGTGTTAGGTGGGGCCGTACTTTTTCTACCAGCGTTTGCGGAAGAGGCGCTCGTGGCGGCTGTAAATGGCGCACTGATAGTAACTCGCGTACTGATGGTCTCGCTCGCATGTTATATGTCAAGCACCATTTTAGCGACCCTATGAGTGATGGTGGGAAATCTGAAAGAAATAATTATAATGTCACATGAATTAGAGCTGTTTTTTTTAAATAACTTTAGATGTATTGTTTGTAAGGACTAGTCAAATACGAGTTTATCCAGATGAGGGAAAATTATAGCTACAGTCTGTACGGATAAAGAATGGGATAAGAAACGGAAGTTCATTGAGCCCGTACCATCAACATGCACATTACCAAAAACAAAAACCAACTAATTACGGTATATCATTATAATGTTATATTATTCGGTTAATTTAAGGTATATTTTAATTTTGGTTATAAGACAATTACTTACGGTCAATAGGTGGATAATCAATACGATGGTTAGGGTCGAGGATGGCGGCTAGCTTCGCTAGATTAGGAATGTGTCCAAATGGTGTACGACCATACACCATACTGTACAATATGCAGCCCAGTGACCACACGTCTGAGCGAAATGAGATCTATGGAACAATAAAAATAAGTTGAAATTGTGATTCTGAAATAATCGGTAAAATATCTAAGTAATATAATTAAGCTTTACAGTGGTAAATTACCAGTGGGTAAACACAGTAAAATATTTTTATAGATAGTGACATGAGGTGTGAGTGCAAACTTGACTTTATAGAAGTATAAGACTGAAGTAAATTCTTTCCCGCAATTGGTGAGTCAGTCAATGTTCGTCGTCTATTAGATGGGTGATTTGCATGCTGCAATTACTAAGAAGTACATACCCACGTATGTGTCGCCGTTTTTATAACGATCTACATATATAAGTTATAGAAATTATCATCCCCATGGGTATAAAGCGACCTACCAATGCAGAAATAAAGACAGCTGTGCTGCCTCATTTAAAATCTTAATTATGAACAGTGAAATGGAACACACTGAATCCTTTTATTTTATGGAAACCCACATCAAATTATTATATATCATTATTATAGACAGTGCAACAGAAATATATATATAATTTATAATATAATTTTCGATAACTTATGGGCGTACATTAAATCTAAACGTTTTAAAACTACTGGTTATCCAAAAACTTTACTCAGGCACAAATAAATATAAAACAGATGAAGAAATCTGCAAAGGGTTTAATGAATGCCGACAAACTGTAATGCAGTTCGGCTGCTTACGAACTGTAATGCAATTTGGCAGAAGAAAATGTTAAAAACGTTTATTGTATAAATGGGAGAAAATAAATTAAAAAAAAATATATTTCGAAAGTGTATTTGTAGATCCAGCACCATCGTACAATTTTTTCTCTGTAGCTGCAGTTAATAGTAACGTCGAGTCTTTGAACTCGTTAACAATTACGGAATAAGAGGTTTTAAAATCTTTAGCGTGTTGTAAAGGGCAAGGCAGTGATAAAATACCTCCCATCTTCTTTAAAAACTGTTCTGATAAAGTTACTTTGCCACTAATTTCATGAACCTTTAAGTGAAGGGGTGTTTCCATCCAATTGGAAAGAAACGCACATCATTCCTATCCACAAAAAAGGCACTAAAACTAAAATAGACCATTATTGTCCAATCTCTTATATATCTATCTATTTTGAATACATTGGGATAGTTACTGGATAAAATTCTATATGTCAATTTATATCCAAATGTAGCTCGAGGAATTCCCAATAAACAACATGGATTTATGAGCAATCGTTCGAATACTACGAACCTCAGCATTTTTACCAATGACATATTAAAGAGCATGGATATAGGTGCAAAGGTTGTTGTGATCTATACGGATTTTAAAAAGGCTTTCGACTGATTGGATCACGTTATTCTGTTGCACAAACTACAGACATTAGGTATCCGCAGCGACTTACACCGCTGGACAAAATTTTTTTTTTTTTTTTTTATTAGGAAACTCAACAGCATATTTTTAACAATCATACTTAAAATACATATTAACATACTTAGCCAATAACAGAGTTTCACAACATGCTGAATAACACTTACAAAGCAGAGAGGTAAAATTGTAACTTAATACATATTATCTAAATACATAATATTTTACACACGATTGCAGTACATGGTTCTATATTATGTGATTTGTATACAATTATGTTTAGATTTAAATTTAAATTTAAGTTGACAGCTTTTTATAAAATTAATAAAACAACAAAAATAAAATGATATTCACTGAATAAAATAGAATAAACAATATAAATACATAAAATAAATATGTTACATGTTATTTTGTATACCTTATAGTTCTATTATAACTAATATAACGACATGATTTCCAAATTGATATTTTTTTACAGAATTGTGATAATACAGATGGAGTTATAGAATAGATGTACATTATGTGATAGTTACTGCTTCTTAGACAGCTTCAGGATAAGTTTGTGTTTAAAGTTAGACTTAGAAAAGTTGAAAATATCAACATTACTATATTTACTATTATAAATTTTGGGTAGACGAGTCATGACAGCGTTCATACCGTATTTGGTACGATGTTTAGGTACATTGAAAAGTGGGGTCTTTCTAGTACGGTACTTAGGAGTGCAGAACTGGATACCTGCGAGAAGATTAGGACTATAAATGTTACTGTGAGGGATATCATGCAAAAAACACATATCAAGTAATTCTCGTCTAGATTCCAGCGACAAGAGACCGTGTTTAATACACTCCTCATTATAAGTTTCACAACGACGCATGCCGGTTTTGTAATTGAGGTGCTTTATGAAGAGTTTTTGTATTCTTTCCAATCTGTTTATATACAAAGCATATTGCGGCGACCATATGGAGCTACCATATTCTAGAATACTGCGACAATATGCGTAGTAGATAGATCTGAGACTGTTTATGTTTTTAAAAGGTTTACAAGTCCTCATAATGAACCCCAGATTGCGATATGATTTATTTACGATATGGTTGACATGCTCAGAAAACGTCATTTTAGAATCAAGGAAAACTCCTAAATCCTTTACTATCTCAGTCCGTTTTATGCCTTCATTTTTAAAGTGATACGGAAAAACAATTTTATTTTTCTTTCGGCTAAAACTGATACATTGACATTTACTTATATTTACTGTTATATTGTTAAATCATATATATTTAATAGAATACAAGCAACAATTGTTGGCGGCTGCAGATCAGACTATATAACTATAAAATCTGGAGTACCACAAGGTTCTCACCTAGGTCCACTTCTCTACAATGCTTATTTATTTAATATCCACTTATATCTCATTGGCATTCTATTAGCAGGCAATCTAAATTTCTAATATTTGTTGACGATAAAAAAGTTAACTGTAATGTAAGAAAAATTGAAGATTGTAAACTTCTTCAAAATGATTTAGACAACCTGGCAAAATATTACAACATTAATAGAATAAGCATCAAGTGGAGAAGCGTAACCAAATAACCTTTACACGTAAAGAAAGGGCAGTACTAGTAGTATATATTCTTCTACAAAAATCTTGTAGGGTTAGGGATTTAGGAGTAATCTTGGATTTCAAGCTCACAATGGTGGACCGATATGGTCTACACATACAGTGGCGAAGCTAGAGCTCCAAACTAGGGCAAGCCCAAGATATGGTTTTGTTGTTTTTAGCAGTTTAATAAAAATACACCAATCTTGAGCTGTCTCTTTAGTTTCATATTCAGTGCTGTCAAGAAAGTGTTTAATAAAGCACACAGAAAGCATACTACCGCTAGATAGATTGTATGCAATTGCACACCTTCGGTGGTTTTGAAAAGAGCCGTTTGGGTTTGCTTGAGATATTTACAAACAATACAATACATGAACAAAAGAAAAGCATGAACAAAGTACAAACTATGTACAAAGTTAGAAAAGGGACGCCTGGCAGACGTGAAACCTCGAAATTATTTTGTTTAACTTATATGCATAAGAGAACAGATTACGACAGGAATTAGATAGTTATAATGAGAATTTAGAAAGATTTTTTACCATAAAATAATGACTATTTATTATATAATTATTCATTTTCAATTTATAATAAACCGTACAAAATGATATTTTTAAGCTCATATGGTAATATAAATATTAAATTAGCCGATATTGTATTTGTGCCATCTAGCGTAATCTTTAGGTACCATCGTGAGAATCAACTAATTTTCGTTCGATAAAATGACTACCTATAAAATTAAGTAGATGGCGTTATTAAAATTTTATATACTGGTAATAACTAAAGGGAGATCTTTTGATTTATTACATTAAAATTTGAGCTTCACGTTAAAAAAAGATTGTAACACTTATTTCCTATAAAATTAAACCTAGGTGTCTCATATTTTATGCTGCCGTTCAAAATGATATTTTTAATAATACTAGTTTTTACGGAATTTATCGCGTATATTTAACTTGATAATTACCCGACGTTTCGAGAGCTTTACAGCACCCATGGTCACGGGAAGGACTGAGATGTTCAACGTCCAGCTGTCATAGTTAATCGCGGTTACCATATATTAAAATTTAACTTTTGTTCCGATCTACACAGTATGAACTTATGGTATCATGGAGTCTTGCAGTTGTATGCTTGGGTTGGGATTTAATTTTATTTATTATAGGATCCCAAGCAGATGGTAGCACCCAGCCATCTTCTCTATTGAAATTAGGATGTTTTTTGATTTCAATAGCCTCGCGAATCATCCTTGGAAGGAATCGGTGTTCTTTAGCGAGGATTTGTGGTCTATCAAATCTGATGTAGTGACGGGGGCGATTCTGTACATGTTCACAGACTGCAGACTTCCCGGAGCGTCGATTCTTCACATCAGCTATATGTTCTTTGATGCGGGTTTTAATGGATCTTTTAGTTTGTCCTATGTAGGAGAGACCACATTCACAATCAAGCTTGTACACTCCTGCATCTTGCAGAGGGACGTTACACTTGACTGATGGTAAAAACTGACCAATCTTCTTCGGCGGCTTGAAGTATGTTTTGATGGAAGCGCGCTTCAAGATGTAGCCAATCTTGTCAGTGACTCCTCTAACATATGGCAGTACAGCAGGTACACGCTCGACTGTGGCCGGCTTCACTCGTTCTCTGTGACGTAGGCGCGGGACCCGAAGCTTGTTGTCATGCAAAACTTGCTTGACATGTTGGAGCTCGGCAGCCAGGTGTTTACTGTCACAGATCCCTCGTGCTCTCTGAAACAAAGATTTACCCACGGTAGCTAACTGTGAAGGATGGTGGTGAGAATCACCGTTTAAATATCTATCTGTATGGGTCTTTTTTCTATACACAGTATGGCTCAAGGTGTTATCAGGATTCCGAATTACTAACACATCTAGAAAAGCTAAGGAATTGTTTGCCTCTAACTCCATTGTGAACTGAATTTTAGAATTTATAGAGTTAAGATGGTCTAAAAATGCAGTTACTTTATCTAAAGGTAGAATTGTGAAAGTGTCGTCTACGTACCGCTTGTAGAAACTTGGATTTATGGGAGAAGTAAGCAGGGCTTTCTCCTCAAAGTCTTCCATGAATATGTCGGCG